TCTTTAAATTTAATGCGCGAAACTTAATTTTGATAAAAATTTATTGGATGATCTGAAACGTGATATAAATTTTTATGGAATTTTATTGGCCTAAGTTTGAAGATCATACACGTGATATTGTTTATTTGGTATTCGAATACCTATCAATTATATTACCAAGTTTTCACATGACCACATAATTTTGCAAAGAGCGATAAAGAGTATAAAATTTGTGAAACAGATATATTAATATTATAAGTTACTACGTTAAGATATTTTATGCCACCTCATAAGAGGCATCAAATTCTGTCACCACTGTGTAGAGTATTTCGAACAATTTCTTAAATCAGTCTCAAAGTTTGCATTACACAAACATAATAATACACTCTATCTGCCAGTAGGTCACAGTTAATACAATCGATTTAACTGACCTATCTCGAAACAGATAATAAATATATAATAAATAATAATAATAATTAAATAATATCAAGTAATAATCAATTAATCATGAAGGCACAGTGAGTAAGGTGGAGTAAAAGTAGTTAATATAGTATCAAACAATATTTAATAATATTCCGCAATATTACAGCACAAGATATAAGTTAATTAAAATATAAAATATAAAGTTTTAAAAGTAAAGTATAATTCAGCAACAGAAATATTATCATGTATTAGGATGTCTATTTTACCGTCCCTGAAGTAAGTTTACTTTTCTATCTAATAATAATTAAAATATTTCAATATATTCCACAATATTAAGTAATGATTAATTAACTAATAACTATTAATGAATTCTTATTACTCTCTCCTTTAAACTTACACCTGACAACAGTCGTATTTATACTTTCTCTTTTGTTTACACTTCATCCTATTCATTTTTGTACTTCATCCTTCATCCTGGTACAGTCATCCTTCATCCTCATACAGTTATCTTCATACTTCATACTTCATTCTTGTATGGTCATCTTACATGAGATAACAATTATCTGAATATTCATCTAGTGACATAATTTATTATCTCCCATGACATTTCGTCTGATTACCAATTTGGATCACCATAAACATTTCCTCCTTCAAAGGGAAGCTCTTGCGACCCAGTATCCATTTCTAAAAGATCATCTATTAATTGTGCACCCATTGTTTTACATAGTTGCAGAAACCTTTTGAATTCCAATTTAGGTAACTTATAGATCCAATCTGGCATAACATTTTGAAAATTTCTGGCATATGACATTCTTATCTCCTGAAATAATGATTGTATTCATGTTGCTATTTGAAATTTTGAAACTACTAGATTTAATTAATAGAGTTTGTTGTTTTCTTGTATACACTCGATCTCTATAGTATAAAGACGATTTATTTGATAAATGCATACTATCTGAAGTAGTTCTTTTTAATTTAGGAGATCTAAAATAGTCTCCTCCTTTTATTTGTTGTGTTAAATTTGTTGTCTAAATATTAAGGTCTACTTGTGTTGGGACTGTACTTGATTGACTAGAGAAAAAATATGATGAGGAAGGATATAGTAAGGTTGACTCAGGTAGTTCAAGTGTATCTGAGGTGAAAGGGCTAGTGGTAGTAGTTTCAAAATTCCTTTCTTCCTCTAATAACTTTATAGTAGCTGAAAATGGTGATAGATGGGTACTAACTACAGGTAAGAAACTTTCACTTATATTTTGACTAGGGATACTTGACTTTTGCTTTTGTTTAATATTTTGGGATATGTGCACTAGTAATTTAGGAATGATAATTTTTCTTGTTTTTTCAGATGAAGTAGGGTTTACAGAGGAACTAACTATAAAGGTAATTAAGGGAGTATTAAACAGAGTCTTTTTAACCTCAGGAGACAATGATAGAGAATCTTGTGGTAACGTCACTGTGAAAAATGGTTGTGGTTATAAACAGTTTGTGAAAAATTAATAGGAGTGTTTGAATGTGTCTGTTGTAACTTTTTGGTAATGTTCGTAATAAGAGATTCAGTTGACAGTTGGTGACTCAAAACTGTAGATTATTTATTGAAAAGATTAATTTAATAGACAGAAAGTATCTTCCAAAAGGTTTAAGTTATCCAAGATTTTATAAAAATTATCTTGAATTTGGAAGAGTAAGTTTAATTGCTCCTTAATTTTGCGTAATTCTTCAAGGTCTTCTAATTTTCAAACGAGATCCTCAGTTTCAGGTGTTTGATTGACTATTGCTTTTATCTTTTGTTGATAGAGTTCAGCTATTTCTTCGATAGTTTTGTTAAGCTCTCTAACTTGCTCAGTATTAATTATAAAAATAAATTACTAATACTAAAAAGGATAAGAAGATGATTTTCTAAGATTATTACTAACTAATTAAGGCCTTTGCATTGAAAAGTAACTAACTAAAAGAAGATAAATTATAAAATACTATATTGGAATTATTAAAATAAAGGATAGAATAATTATAAAAATTTCAATTTGTTTTTGCTAGAAGACACCAAATTGTTACTAGTTGACCTTTTGAGTAAATTTTATTTTCCAAAAGACAATTTTCAACTAGCAACTCGTAAACAATTACTTTAGTTTACAAATTGAAGAAGATAATAGAAGAAGAATAAAAGAAATATTAAAGTTGAATACTAAAACTAATTAAAGGACTTAAGATTTAAGATCACGGGATTTAATTATTGACTAATAATTAAATTTTAAAAGTCGAGTTAAGAAATTAAGACAAAGAATTAAATATATTTATCAATGGTTTATAAAATAATAACAGATATTTATAGGTCAGAATTTATATTCGAAGAATATAAATTAATAAAAAGAACAGAGTTTTATTATAAAATGTATAAGTTTATTACAAAGAAAATCAATAATCCAATTACTTTAGGATTATAAAAATATTACAATTGAGATTACTTTCTAAATTTCACTATTTAGAATTATTTCGAATCTTATTTCCAAAAAACTATCTAAATCCTTCTTGGGATAAAGAGAAAACTCACTCTTTTTATAATATTTGATTTGACTAGTAAGTTGGTCAGTAAGTTGGTTAAAATCTTGGTTAGTAATTGTGCCAATCAGTTGGCTACTAAGTTTATCAATCAGTTGGTCACTAAATTGGTTAGTGAATTGGTCAGTAACTGGGCCACTATGATCTACATTATTGATTTACATAATTCATATTACACTAATAAATAAATACTAATAACTAAATATACTAAATATACTAAAATAACTATGCTAATTAAATAAATACAAATAAGAAATAAAAATAAAATAAAATAATAAGAAATTATAAAAGTGAAGGAAACTCATAATAACAATGGTTATTTCACGTGAAATAACAATTACCTGAATATTTATCTAGTAACACAAATTATCATTCCCCGTGACATTTCACCTGATTTCCAATTTGGATCATCACAATACACTCGATCTGTTAGTAGATCACAACTAATACAATTGATTTAATTGGCCTATCTCAAAACAAATAATAAATATATAATAAATAATAATAATAATTAAATAATTAATCAATTAATTATGAAGACATAGTAAGTAAGGTGAAGTAAAAGTAGTTAACACAGTATCAAACAATATTTAATAATATTCTGCAATATTACAGTACAAGATATTTAATAATATTCTGCAATATTACAGTACAAGATATAAGTTTATTAAAATATAAAATATAAAGTTTTTAAAAGTAAAGTATAATTCAGCAACAAAAATATTATCATGTGTTAGGATGTCTATTTTACTGTTCCTGAAGTAAGTTTACTTTTCTATCTAATAATAATTAAAA